TACTAGCTTGCCCCCACACCCCACCCCAGGCCTTCACCACCCTATTGTCTGTGTCCATGGGTTATGCATATATGCATACAAGTTCTTTGGTTGATCTCTTCCCACCCACCCACCTTCCTCTGCCTTCCCTCTGAGATTCCACAGTCTGTTCTAAGCTTCTGCCTCTGGATCTATTTTGTGCATCAGTTTATTTTGTTCATTAGACTCCACATATGAGTGAGATCATGTGATACTTGTCTTTCTCTGACTGGCTTATTTCACTCAGCATGATACTCTCCAGGTCCCTCCATGCTCTCTCAAGGGGTAAGAGATCCTTCTTTTTCACTGCTGCATGGTATTCCATGTGTACATGTATCATAGCTTTTTACCCACGCGTCTACTGATGGGCACTTGGGCTGTTTACATACTTAGCTACTGTCGATTGTAAGCACGTTCTTTCAATCCCCACTTTCACAGTCAGCGGCGGGGAGGAGAAGGGAGCTTCAGCTCCCTGAGGCCCTGTGGGCGGTTTCTCTGGAAACAGCCCAGTTACTGCATGTGTTTCCCGTGTGGCTGCTGAGGTCAATACGCTGCTCTTACAGCACCTTCCCGTTCCCCCTCGGTCTCTGCTGCTAGGCTGAGGGTGCTGTTTCCCTCCAGGAGACTCTGACGGGGTTCCTGAGTTCCCTGTGGGTGCGGGTGGAAGGAGGACACTTTCGCACCCACAAAACACCAGTGGGCAGAGGGCGCTGCGCCTTCAGAGGAAGCGTTGGCATTTGTCTAAAAGAAGAACACTCGGCGTTTGTGACATTAATAATAGGCCTGGGAGGTTTATCAAAGCACAGATGGCTGGGCCCCGCTTTCGGAGTTTCTGACTCACTAGATCAGGTTTGGAGCCCGAGAATTTGCATTTCTTGTCAGCTCCCAGGTGATGCTGAGGTGCCGGCTGGGGGACCACTGAATAGGGGATGCTTTGGAAGAGTTCGGCCTTTATTTTTCTATCCCAACATATTTCCACTTTGAAAGTGCTGGAGCCTATTCATATAACCAAAGATTTTTATGAATACTGTGCGCTCTAGGAAAATCCACTTAAAATTTGGTTTCCTAGAAAAAACAAAATCAAAGCAGCGGCAAATTGCAAAATGTGAACTGGTAATAAGCACACGAATGAATAAAACTAGATTCAAAAGGTTGGTGTATACGAATTTTTCTCCCCTACAACCCAGGAAAATAACTGCACTTTATTAATACAGAATAATCACATATTTACCTGCTCATGAGACTATCAACTCACTTTTTAATATAAAGAACATAATTATCACTGAAAAACAAAAATGTACCAACAACATTATTTTTTTAAGCATGGGTAATTTTCCTCTGGAAACTTGATCTATAAATAGATAGATAGATCTAAAACAGCCGTTCTAAATGACCCCCTTCTATGTTTAAAACTGAACCCAATGCATTTCCCCACGATTTTGGAAGCCGGAAGTGGTCTCAAAAGGAATTCCCCCTGAAGGGTATTTTCACCACGTGCTGATTAAAACAGTGCAGTTGTTTCCCATTATTCATAACAAGCGTTTTACAATAAGCTAAATGATTCTAAAGTGAATTAAGTTGCTTACCTTGGAGCCTCGCTCATTAAAAATAATTTCAACATCTAAGATTTTACCAAATTGCTGCAAAGAAATAGAAATATTTTATAAGCAAGAAGAAAAATGGAGGAAATCATATTATGCACATTGGTAATGGTACCCCACGTCAGAATCTTCTGTTCTTTTTTAATATACAAGGATATTGCATTTTATTCTGTGCTATCATTAAACGGTGCCCTTGAACCAAGAGAAAAAACAAGCACACGTTATTTCCATGTTACGCCATACCCCACAGAGTGGAGAGCGGAGTAGGGGCCTGCCTGGTACAAAATAGGTAATCAAGAGGTTATTTCTATTTTCCTTTCTTTATGTGTGCAGGATGGCTTTCCCAGGCACTGAGCAGCAAAGATTAAACATGGCTAATGTACCTGCCGACCCTTTTAGGCCACTCCACTAATCACAGGAGAAAAACCCTGAAGAAGTGGGATTTGGGTAGTAAAATGTCCAAGCAGAATATGAGGTTGAGGATTTTGATCCCAAGCCCCCATAAAACAGCCAGGCCATGTAATACAAGTAAAGTACAAACAGATAAAAGCAAGAGCCACTACCCGGACGCCCGTCAGAATCCACACACCAGCACAGTTGTGATTAGACCTCGGGCTGAAATGTACTTCTCTCCAGATGATTCTCCATGTTGTTAAACAAACAAACATATTTTAGACAATTAGCATGAATGTGCTCTATAAAAAGTGAAGGTGATTCCACGTATTCAAGTCTAGGAACACAACTTCAGATGACAAATAAATTGGACAGTCGTGTATAATACAGATGCCTACATTGATTTAAATTTCAAGTTTTCCAGAATAACTATGCCCTGAAAATAATAATACTGGGGATACACTTATTCTTAATGCAATACTTGTTATCTAAACTTCAAATTCAACTACCGCATATCTTGTATTTTTTTATTCATTTGCTAAATCTCGTAGTCCTCATGAGAAAGATGTCAAGCAATTCTTAATTCACACTTTAAAGAATAAAAAGGAATGTGCACCCTGACACCAGAAGCATCTGATGATCCAAAACCCTTTTCCTTGACCTTGGAATCCTGTCAGTTTTCTTCACTCACATGGAGTCGAGTGGGCGACTTTTGAGAACGGGTGGGAGAGGGTGGCATACAAGTAGGCGACATGGCCCAGGAAAAAAAGAAGATGGAAATTTTACCCTGATGCAGAAGGAGAGCAACTGTTCATGTTATTAAAAAATAAACAGGAGACCATAAAGTCATGTTTCCATCTCTTTTCCCTTTATTTTGAACTTTCCTATTGTTCCACTTGCTTCTGCAGCCTCGATTTTTATTGCATCGTTTATTACCATAGGAGACTCTGCATTCCGTCTCTCCCCTGGGTAGAAAGCATGGAGCAGCCTCTTTGCATCAGGGGACAAAGTGGTTTGGAAGGAGGAGCAAGACAGGAAGGAACAAGCTGAACACAGATTACTAAGGACAACCTGCCTGACCAGGAGCATCCGCATAGGATGCTGGGAGGCCCTGAGAGCGAGTGTCAAGAGGGTCCCACTAACATTCAAGAAAAAAAAAATTCAGAAGATACAGAGGCTGTCCACTGAAACATACAAACTATCCTACCTTACTTGGAAAGACAGAAAAACATATGCATACTCTAGGCCACTCCACTATAGCAATATAAATAGCTCAAAACCTTGAAATGAAAATAGTTCTTACTACAAGAAAAAGAAACCCAAAGCTATGTCATCCTGTGCCTTTGAAATATGCCCATTGCTCAGAATATGTACCCAGGAAGGACATCGTAGAGTGGAATTTTTCTTGTTGAACACAAGTGCTTCTCTACTTCCCAAAGGATAGAAGGACAGGAAGACATCAAGAAGACAAGGCTCAACTAAGAAAGGAGATGGAAGGATGCCAGCATGTATAGGTTCAGTTCCAGACCTCGGCAATAAAGCAAACATAGCAATAACACAAGTCACAAATTTCTGTGTTTCCCAGTGCATATAAAAGTTACGTTTACACTATACTGTAGCCTATTAAGTGTGCAATAGTGTTATGTCTAAGAAATGTACACATCTTAATTAAAAATACTTTATTGGCTAAAAAATGCTATCATCTGAGCCTTCTACAAGTCGTAATCTTTTTGCTGGTGGAGGGTCTGACCTTCAATTTATAAAAACAATGCCCTATCTGCAAAGCACAATGTGGCGAAGTGCAATAAACGAGGTCTGCCCGTACAATGGAAACACCAAGAAGCATGCAGCTAACTCACCCTGCCATTTCTGGACGCTCAGTCTTTCGGTCAAGAGAACACTCTTCTACAGAGCATTCTGAGTGCCCTAGATTCGGGCAAAGAAAATCATTAAAAACAGAAAAAGAAAACTTTCAGATTTGGAAGCGAAGGGTTTGCCATTGAAAGGTGAACTTAATCTCATAGTTAAGAAATCCTCCAGCTGGGTGAGCGCCTCAGAAGCAGTAACTTTGACATAAACTTAGAAAAGTCAGTCCACACAGACGCTATTATGTGTATTTCGGACAGAAGGGCCCAGAAGCACTTGCATTGATGGACAGGGAAGCTTGAAAAGAACTTCTTCCCAAACCATGAAGCAAACGTCAGCTACGGAACATTCTCTCAGCAGTCAACACACAAACACTTCCTTAAAATAAGATCTCCTGGAGAAAGAATCAAAGGAGAAGTACTTTAGCACGTGTCTTTCCCCAAATAAAACGATGACACCATATGCCCCAAAATGGTCTCAACTGGTTGCCTCTTTGGCGGCTACCCTTGGGCTGATGATTCTCAGAGCCAAGGAAACGAGCCTTGAGAAGAATGCTGATGTCAGCCCCACGGCTGAGACAGTTGTGTACTATATTTATAGTATCAACAGTTTAATTGGGAAGTTGGTACTAATGATGTAAACACAGCTGGCACATTTTCAGTTTAAACAGACACGACTCATTCGCAGACATAACTAGCATTTGTTTGCTCAACACCAATGTTGGGTGGCGTTCAACAACGTCTCGGAATCCACACAAGGTGCCTGGATGGCTGCATCCAGAAGGAAATCCAGGCGCTTATAGGCACACACGTGGGCAAATCTGTCACAGGCATTTGTAGACATTCTCAGATCAAATAATATTTCTCTGAGAAACTATGCAAGATGGTCAATGGATACAGCATGAAACATGAAAGTAAAGGTTAGTTCAATGAGTGTACAGAGAGGCTAAGGAGAGGCATCCTCTGAGTTTTCTTGGGGTCAGCTTCATGCTTAGAATGCAGACCGAGGAGGCACCCTGCCATGTCCAAGAAATCAGCTTCCCTACTTATAATATTGCAGTGGATGGAATTCCTGTCACACTGAAAGTGCAGACATCTCTCTCACTCTATATTATTGCTGCAGAGGTGATCATGAAAGCTGCTTTTGCGTGCTCTGAAAGTCATGGGATCTGCTTCTTGGTAACCATAAAGAGAGACTTCAGTAGATCGTGTGCATGCCCAAGTGAGTCTGTCTTTTGATAACCAAAGCAAGGCTGTGACATCAAGGGTCCTGTGCAAATTTGAAACCTGAACTCATTGAGCAGCTGTTTCTGAAAATAATTCTACGATGGAATGAGTTGTATCCGTGATCTGGATAGATTATAATCACTTCTCTCTTCCCAAACCCAGAAATGCTTAACATTTGAATATTAGATTAAATTAAGTTTCACATTCAGGAGCAAGATATTATAATTAATGTGTGGAAGTCCATACATTTTTTTAATGGGATCATCAAGAACTCAATGTAGAGGAAGTACAGGCTCATGAATGATGTCTGAAATGAGGACAGAGCTCAGGAAGAATGGAGCCAGGCCAGGACCAACATTCCTTCCAGTGAAACATCCAGAACCGAGGTCCTGATCACATATTTGAGCCATTCACTCACACCCCTGCTGGTGCTTTAAAAGGACTTCTCCTTTGGATAATGTGGCCACACAGCAGCTAGGCCCAGGAATGCTCCATCTTCAATAGAAAAGGAAATCTATCTATAATGAGCTAGAAGAGTTCATGAAAAACACGGAAACACATGCCTCCAAAAGAGGAGAAAGTGCAGAATATGAAGTGCATGTGGAAGAAAAGATAACCAGAATGGCAATAAGGAGGCACTGGAGCCACAAATTAAAAATGAAAAAAAAATTTGAGACATTTGTGGTCACCATTAGGCCCACAGCGGTTGCAAACTTGAGGACTGAATGATGAAGTTGTTATGAACATTGCCAGGTTTTCGGGAGTTTGAGAAAGGAGGCTGCTTTTTTGTCTTGTGTTTGGAGTCTGAAACATTTAGGAAAAGAGACAATGGAGAAAAGCTCAGGGGCCTCCTGAGAGTTTTCCTCCATCATTACCCGCACTGTAGCTCCTGCCAAAGTGAAGGGACAAAGACAAAATATTCCACCGAAAGGAGAGAAGGTGTCTCATGTCCATGTGCGCTGGAAAATACCAAACTGGGATCAAAATTGGGAAGCCAATCAGAATGTTTCAGATGCCTTCCAAAGGGATTCATGCCACTAACTGTATCAGATAACCGGAATAGGTTTGCCACCACCAACGTTTGGCTAGGAAAGATAGACGATTTTGTTGTTGGTATTTTTTTTAGTGTTAAAATTCCATTTCTTCAGAATGATGGTTGTAAAACAAGGAGGCCTCCGATTTACAGCAGAGTCCCAGAATCCACATGTACCCAATAATTCTTTATGGATGAATCCCGTAACAAAAATCTTGCCTACTTTTCTAAATGGACACAGATGCTGTGTGTGATAAGCAAAATGCATTTTAATATGACTGAGTGTACGCTGTGTTTTCTTAATGCATAAACAGTAAGTGTATCTATCATCTTGTCAGATTGACATCTTGCTAGTTGCTTGACAATGTTGACTTTTACAAAAAGTGGCTATGAAACCAGTCGATTTCCATCAAGGTTTGACAACTGGTAGTACGATGGATCTTTTGGTTTATAAGTTAATAAATGAAAACACCAAGACTTTGCTCCATGTCACCTGCCCTACTACCCCTGTAAAGGTAAGAGGTTCAAATATTCACACACACAGGATCCCTTCTTCGGGAGTTCTAGCTGTGGGTATTGTGAATGCCTCTCCAACTTAGCAGTGTCCTCTCCAGGAATTTTCAAGATAACCAAGAAGACTATGGAGTGAAGAGCACCTTCAGGGGGTGGGAACTGGCTGTGCTGCAATGAGTGACTCCGTGAGGGAGCACCGGATGGCCACCTGGAGGATCAAGTTCAAAGCCAACATCCCAGTGACACCTGATGAGTAATGATGGGCCGAAGAGCAAGACGGCTTCCTCACCTGCTGTGGCGAAAGGAATCTGATGCCCCTGGCTTCCCGTCACTCAGACCTGGCCTGGCTGCTTTACACACTTAACCTCCACTTTCACGTTGAATGCTCTGCACTTTTCAAAGTCATCTTTGACCCGAAAGTGCCCGAGGGTATCTCTGCTCTGCAACAGTCAGAGAGGGCTCAACTCAAGGTTATTACCAAATGAGAGAGATGAAAGTGCAGGAGCTGACCTTTTCCTCTGAAATGTCAGGTTTCAAGTCTGGGTGTCTTCAATGTTAGGATGCCTGGTCCGCGTCTGTGTCAGACGCGCGCTTGATAAACATCGTGCATGTTCAAGGAATGAAAGGTGCACGCGAACCCCACAGTCGCAGGGCCGTGAGCCAGAGCTCCCTTCCCACATGGGCAATAAGAGCTACTTTGCCCAGAATTGGGCATTCGGGTTGGGCTATTTCTTACTCCTTTTGTCATACTTGTGTGCTTCCAAAAACCCTTAGGAGAAGAATCTCCACGCGGCCAACCCTTTGCTCTCAGTCAAATGTTCAGAATGTCATTCTGGTCACTGAATCCACAGATACTTCCCACCAACGCTGGGATGTCCCATATAAATAGGCTGACTACGTTTGCAAACTTGAATAGTATCCAAGCCCACGGTAGCTTTGTCCTTTGGCAAGACCGAGCCCAAGGAAATGCCAAGCTCATCCATTCCCAAGGTGGGCAGGGCAGATATTGTCCAGAAATGCTGTCCGGGTCATGATGCCCCGCGAGGAAGCAGCCCTATCGTTTCTTTTCCCTGGGTGGGTGTGACTTCTGTCTGCATTTCACCATGGTGCGGGGCCATGCTGTCATTGGCGCATTCATCACCACAATAGGGACCTCTGAACCCTCACCTCGGGATCCAGGAGGGTGCGCACTGCAGGATGTAAGGCGGACTGAGAAGCCTCTAGCTTTTGTTCTGTTTTGTCTTTTAATGAAGCTTTAGAACTGATTATTCTCTACAGCTGCATCAGACCGCTCAGTGTACAGTGCCTGGGAAAGGGTGAGGTGTGCCTGAACTCGTCATGACAATCAGGCAACTGCCTTCGAGAGAAGAACCAAGATGAAACATGATGTTTATTTTTTAGTCATGACATGGGGTTTGGGCCCCTCAATTTGGGATCGCCAATGGGCTTGTTTCAGCAGGGTATTATCTGAGAGTTAATTTTCCATTTGATATTTCAGTTACTAATTAGAAAGAAACCATTTGGCACAATGGAAACATGGTGGGCACTGGCAAATAAATTTATACTAAAATCATGGAAAGAGCCTAACCACCATATACCCACAAAATAGGACCTAAAATCCTCCCTTTTAAACGTCTCACGTCGTATTATAAATAGCAAGAACTTACATGGAGGGCAGGGCTCTGGCCCCAGAGCAGGCACCGCAGGGGAGAAAGGCGGTACTTACGCCAAACATTTGTCGGAGGTCCGGGTCGCGGAAGCGGAAGGGGATGTTGGAGACGTGCAGGCGCTTGGGCTGGGACTTGTTTTCTGTATTTTCAGAAGGTTGTGTCTGGGGCTGGCCATCCGTCGGCGCTGCGTCATCTGTCTGCTAAAAGAACGAGAGCAAAGCAAAGAGGCTCTGAGTGGACCCGAATGCTCTTTCCCAGAATGCTTTTGCATCCCCTACATGGTAGGAAAATGCCAGAGCAAAGGAATAAAGGCAGGAAGGAACTGCTGAGCGGTTTTCATTCTTGCAACAAAAGTTTACTGAACTCTGAGTGCCCATCATGGACCTAGAGGTGGGGTTTAACAGTGAGCAAAGCAAACACCCCTGTCCTCACGGAGCATATTTCCCCGGGGGGAGACTGCCGCATTAATACATAAATATGGGCCAGAGCTGGTTTGGCTAGGTGGATAGAGTGTCGGCCCAAGGACTGAAGAGTCGAGGGTTCAATTCCGTCAGGGGCACGTACCTCAGTTGCAGGCTGGATCCCTGGCCCTGGTCCAGGCGTGTGTGGGTGGCAACCAATCATGTGTCTTTTTCACATCAATGTTTCTCTTTATGTGTCTCTCCCACTCCTTTCCACTCTCTCTAAAAATCAATGGGAAAATATCCTTGGGTGAGGATTAACAACAAAAATAAATAAATAAGTAAACAAATAAATAAATAAATATGGAGCCGACAAAAGGAGAAAAGCACTAAAGGGAATTTTAACAGGCTGTCAGAGGAAAGTGTCATCAGGAAGGGGATAGGACTCATAAAGGCAGGGGAAGGTGGATCCCTTACTCAAGGCTGTTCAAAATCTTAGGATACAGCTACATAATTGTTGAGGTTGTGCAGATAAAATATTAGTATATATACTAAAACATTTGAAAAGGCCGTTTGGTATTCTGCAGTCCAAATAGCTATCTGATTGACTTAAATTATTTTATTTTACTTTATGGTTTGAACTTTTGTTTCTTGATTGTGTAGGCTAGTGCTGTCCATTCTAGTTTACCCCATATAACGATTTAAATGTAAACAAATTAAATACAATCTAAAATTCAGCTCCTCAGTCACACTAGCCACATTTCAAGTCCTCAGTAACCACATGTGGCTCATGGCTTCCATATGGGGCAAGCAGACAGAACACCGCTCCATCACTGCAGAACGTTCTGTTGCAGTAAGTTGGTGTGGACAATGTCACATTATTAGCATAGTTCACCTGCCTCCCATTTCACCCCTCCCAAATAAAAGCCTGCATCACATGCTAGTACACTGACACCCTTATATAAACATGAACTTAGGAGAAAAGTCACAGTAACATTTGGTATCATTGTAGCCATGCCCATACGCTGAGTTCTAGAGTTTCAACATTTCAGAGGTGCTTCATTTTTAGATACTTTCCCTGCAATTAGCACATACTGCCTGCAGGTGGCAGTAGATGCCATCCACGTCAGATACCTGCTTCTCTGAGGCCAAGATGGAAAAACCTATGTGGAAGCTCATCAAATTATGAGCAAGGAATCGTCCTCACCTACTTACGCGCAATTTAGTGGCTTATAATTGAGACAAAACCTATCAATGCAGGCAGCCAGCTGTAAAATAGTAAAGACAATTTTACAAAGTGAAATAGATATATGCCAAAATACGTGAGCATAATTAGTGGCTTTCTTGTCAAGTCTTGTATTACCTGGCAGATTTCATTTATTATTTCATTATTCTCCATTCTATACATCCTGAATTGCAGTTTGAAGTCAAGACCGCCAGGTGATTGGCACACTACTTTGCAAGCTGGTTTCATATCCAAAGCCCCCTACCAGATGACTTTGTCCGCTCCCAAGTGCAATGTTATGATGGCAACAATAATTATGCATATGCTTTTGGAGTGAGTAAGAAGGAGGATGGTGACAGTTTTCTAGTCTGGAAAATGAACAGTAAGAATACCGCATACTTTAAATGGCTCTGTGAAGATTGAACACAATAACCTATGCCTGCTTGGCAGAGTTCTTGGCTCATGGTGTACAGTCAATAAATAAAATGTAATGCATTTTTTAGAATGATGATTTTTTTTAAAATATCCAATGAGAGATGTAAAGAGACCCTCTCAGGAAACAAAGAAGAAAGGTCCTCATTTGCTTATGAAACACGTCTTTACTGAGCAACTATTATACACTAGACATGGAAGTTGGTCTTAAAATGCAGTTCCCATTTTAGTACTAGACAAAGAGTTAGAAAGAGTCATCTGTAATATCACTGTTAAATGCTGGGATGAGAGCGAATCCCAGGAGACCAAGTAAACTTAAATCAGGGGCACACAACACTGTTGGAGGTTCTGCAAGGCCTACCAGTTCTGCAGGTTAAGTCTGAAGTGGGGGATGCCTAAGAGAAGAGGTGATGGGGCTGGCCTTTGACAGCAGGCGGCAAAGCTTATGCCAGCGGTTCTCAACCTGTGGGTCGCAACCCCTTTGGGGGTCGAACGACCCTTTCACCGGCGTCGCCTAAGACCATCGGAAAACACATATATAATTACATATTGTTTTTGTGATTCATCACTATGCTTTAATTGAAGTAGCAAGGAAAATAATTTTATGGTTGGGGGTCACCACAACATGAGGAACTGTATTAAAGGGTGGCGGCATTAGGAAGGTTGAGAACCACTGGCTTATGCAAAGACACAGAGATTCAGGAAGTACGTGTGGACCTCACTGGCCCTGGCCAGAGGGGGAGAGTATGAAGGAGGCACAGGAGAGCACACTGCAAAGGCAGGTAGGGGCTGGATCATGGATGACCCTGTGAGCAAGAGTATACACTTCACCCTACAGGCTCTGAGGAGCCACGTAAAGATCAGAGCAGGGTGACATGACCAGCACATGAGCCGCGGTAGACACATGGCAAATGCCCGTGTAATGGCCGGCTGACTCACTGACTGAAGGGGTGAATGGAAGATGAGTGTATGAATAAACAAAGGATGAAGGAGTCAACCATCAACCTCGCCACCTTCAAGTAATCATGGAAGAAAAATATTGATACCCAAACAAAAATAGGATCCGTGTTTTCTCCTCTGGTGGTGAGATTTGGTAACATGTCCACGAGGTGAACATGTCCTTGAATCATGGGATTGTCACTTTTCGGAGTGGCCAAGGATCTTAGTACTCTGAAGTACTCAGCTGAGACTGAAACATCCTGTCCACTTTTTCCCTCCTGTTAGAAGTTGCTGTTCAAATGCAAATTGCAATGAGCTCCTTCCCATAGCCTCCTACCAAGAAGGAAACTTAGATTTGGATTTGTGCATAACTGCTGGATGTTTCAGCTTAATAAACCTAATTAGGAATTACAGAGATTATGATTAAACATATTAAATGATTAATAGCATTACGCCGCTCATGTGAAAATTAAAATTAATCATCTTTAGTCAAACAGGACTTTGGAGAAATCTTTGTGTTGTTTCCTTTGATAAAAACATACAACGCTCAATTAATCATTTTGTAGTGTGCGTATATATACAATTGCCCAAAAATTGTTATGTAGGAATACCTGTGTGTTAATAGTAATTTTTAAAGATAACATGTAAAATAAAAAAGGGTTTCAGACATTGTGGGTGAATGGACTTGAAAGGATGTCGGCATCCAGAGGTTGAAAAAGAAAAACAGGGGAAAAATTTTTTTTCAGACTGAGCATGTCTAGTAATGCAGTGCGCTTTAACACAAAGGACTAGACTGCAGTGAGGACCAAATGCAATGGGAAGGTAACAGCCACTACACAGCCTCCCATTTCGGGGGTAGACCTGTGGGAATGAGCCCTACTGACTCTCATATTGAGAATATTGGGTGTGAGTTTCCTTTGTCCCTTTTTCTGAGAACTTGCAAGGAAAACATACTCACACCCCTCTGTTAGTCTCCTAAAAAATGACCACACACTTGCTGGCTTAAAGCAACAGATGTTTAATCACTCAAGTTCTGAAGCCAGAACTCTACAAAGAAGTTGCCTTAGGGCCACGCCCCTCCAGGGTCTCCAGGAAGGAACCCTTCCTGGCCTCTCAGACTTCTGCTGTCTCCTGACTGCATCTCTCCAACCAACGTCTGTCTTCAAGGTCACATGGCCTTCTTCCCTCCATGTGTCTGAGGCGCGACTCTCCCTCTGCCTTTTTCTTCTTATAAGGACAGTGGTCACTAGATTTAGAGCTCCCCCTAAGTCCAGAATGATCTCGTCTGGAGATCCTTAATCACATCTACAAAGACTCTTTTCCCAAATAAGGTCACATTCACAGGTTTACGAAGGTCAGGACACGGAGATATATTTTGAAAGCCGCTATTAAACCAGGACATGGACGTCTTTTTTAAAGCCTCCATTAAACCCGCTAGCCCCCTATAAACAAGCCCCCGGTGGCTGTACAGTGAGTCGCTGTTATCAAGGAGTGAGTGTACTTCAAACCACATTAGGCAGCACGAGGCTGTCCAAGGGGTTGGCCTCAAACCAGGTCCAAGAGAGGAGAAGGGAATGTCCGTTCCTGCCAGCGCTACCCCAGGCTCCCATCTGTCACACTGGCCACTTTAATGAGTTCCCAAAGTGGACAGGAGGCCCGAGTCTTCCCTTCACCAGCCCAGGCTCGCAAGGCAGACTGCCTCTCCGCACCTGGATGCAAGGATGCTGGGCTGAGAAGCCCTCCCGCGGCCTCCCAAACCATCAACGCCCTCTAAGGACCAGGGCGTGTCTGCAGGTTCCCTGAGCCCAGCACCACACATCCCACAGATGGGTTAAGCCCGTGGTCGGGAAACTGTGGCTCGCGAGCCACATGCGGCTCTTTGGCTCCTTGAGTGTGGCTCTTCCTAAGCCTTAGGAGTACCCTAATTAAGTTAATAACAATGTACCTACCTATATAGTTTAAGTTTAAAAAATTTGGCTCTCATTGTACTGTTGGTATTTGGCTCTGTTGATGAATGAGTTTGCCGACCACTGGGTTAAGCCATCGCAGCTTCCTATGAAGCTTGTTGAATCTTATGGCAAAGAAGAAACGTGTTGAGGGGACCGATGGTGTAGAACATGTATTTCTGAGAGACAGGGACCCCCTGGTTTCCAGGTCACGGAGTGAACTTTCTAAGGATAAAAAGAAAATACTGTGAAAGAGC